GGATCCCTGTTTCTTTGTACCAGTTGCCTCTCTGCTTTCACAGAGAGAGGATGTATATTCTTTTCTGTTGGCATAGTTAGAAATAAAACTCTTAGCAATGTCGCTTCATCTTTCTCGTCTTTCTGCTGCTGCTTGGATACTCTGCGTTAATGGGAACGTGCCTGGGGCCTCATCAAAGGCTCAGGTCGTTATCACCGTTGGAGGACTCGACCAGAGGAGTGCCTCGGTCGTGCACAAGTCTGACACCAGGTGCCCTCAGCTGTCTCAGCCACAGCTCCATCAGCCCCAGCCAGCTCTGATGTAGGTTCTGGAGTCCAACCAACTGCGGGCATTCCCTGCTCCCTTTCTGCTTGGCTCCCATATCTCTTTCTGTGAGGCCTCTGTCTCTTCCAACCACCATTGCCCCTTATTCAAAGTCAATAAAAGAAGTTTACTCACAATCAGTTCACAGTTGGATTCCTAAAGGCAGACTTAGTTACAAATATGTACAGTGTGGATCTTACACCATATGGGGGAATAATCCCAGTGCTTCTGCTAGCTGAGAGCTGGCAGAGCAGTCCTAGCTAGAATCTGGTCGAGCGAAGAAGAAGTGAAAAAGAGGGAGGTGTGCTGCGTGACTCGTCCTTTTGTTACCTGGACAGGCCCACCTTCTATCACATGCAAAAGGAAGGATTGCTCCAGCCAGGAGAGGAACAGGAAGGTTTCCACTGGCTGGACCAAATATTCTCTTGCATGTCTTCTCTAGGAATGTTGTACTTGACTGCCTCTCACGGATCACATCCCACACTTTTTGCCCGCAGATCTGGGGAACCGCCTGGACAGAGCTGAACCAAGTCTGTTGCTGCGCCTCCTCTCCGACATGAAGCAGCTTGCGCCACACAGTGGCCGACAACGGCACGGCGGACAAACCCCTTGAACGGGACCTGCGTCCTGCACAAGTACATCATGAAGGTGCGCAGCAGCTTCCAGAGCTACGACAAATGGAGCAGGCGGCTCTGAGCAGGCAGCCCCCACGGACGCCGCCTTGCCCCAGGATGGGGCCGTTGCCGAAAGAGGACGCAACGCCGTTGCCTCAGGAACCCTCTGAGGGACAACAGGCGGAAGCTGAGGAAGGGCCGCCCCAGGTGGAAGCTGAGGAGAGACAAGCCTGGGGAGGAGGCTCAGGAGATGGCCGCTGGAGGGTGGAAGCTGAGGAGAGGCCACCCCAGGTGGAAGTAGAGGTGGCAATTGAAGAGAACCCTGTAGGAGAGCCAGAGACTTGATCTGCCTTCTCTCCAAAGAAAGGGATCTGTTTTCATTCTCAGCTGGGGATCCGCTGTAGAGGGTGGCGTTTCCGTAGCAGCCTTAGGGGGGAGTCATGCTTGTAGAGGTCTGCCCCGTTTCTGACATGTCCAAGGGGCAAACGCAGTGTCCTTTCTTAAGCCAACATCCTTTGCCAAGCGAGAGAATGTGTATTTCACTTAGCTGGCGTGAGGGCTCTTTACCTGTCCTCACCCGGGACAGGTGAGGCTGCTGATCCCTTGTTTTCAAATCTGAAAGTTGACAGCTCTGAGCAGAATGGGAAGACTGTAAGAGCTACAGTGGTACCTTAGGTTACCGGTACATACGCTGCAGGTTACAGACTCCGCTAACCCAGAAGTAGTACCTCGGGTTAAGAACTTTGCTTCAGGATGAGAATAGAAATCGTGTTCCGGCGGCGCTGAGGCAGCAGGGAGGCCCCATTATTTAAAGTGGTGCTTCAGGTTAAGAACAGTTTCAGGTTAAGAACGGACCTCCGGAACGAATTAAGTACTTAACCCGAAGTACCACTGTACTTTATAAAAGCCCCCCAAAAGCCGGACTCCTGCTATTGGCATTTTACCAAACCTTCAACCCACTTTGAATTCTATTCTGCTTAAGATTTGAGGTGGAGGTTAGTAAGATTCCACGAGGCCACAGTAACGGCTGCCCCCAGTATCTGGGGCCCACCTGGCCTACGAGGTGCAAACTTCTGGGTCAAGGTGGTGGTGAAATGGAGGAAGCCTACCCAGATGGGGTTAGAAGCAGCACAGTGAAGACGGGAAGCGAGGTGGCAGTTGCAAAACACCAGTCCTACTCTGGCAGTCCCTGACCGTCCTCCGCAAGCCAGCACCCGGAAAGTTGGAGAGATGCAGGGCTTTTCCCTCAGATCTTGACTGCCACAAAGTGCTTTCAGGCCTCATTGGGGCCAGAATTCCCCCAAGCAGTCACTAAGAGGAGCGCCTCCCCCCCAAAAAAATTGTACTACAATGGACTGCATGTTGTGCGCAGATTGTGCAGTGTGTGTGTGTATCCAGCTTCTTTACATTAGATTTATTAATCAAGTAATGGATGTTATTAACTAAACTTAATAAATATGCTATTGGGTAATATGCACTCCTGTGGTCTGGTGTTTGTTTAGCTAATATCTTTTTTTAATTAATGTGAAATCAAAAGTACAGACAAACAAAAAAGGAAAACACGGGAGTTACAAAACAAGGAGCAGGTACAAAGACTGTATTTTCTAAATAGAGAGCATACCAGTGTTGAAAAAATAAAGCAGCAACACATCATGAAAGTCACATTTTGCAATTTGATGAGGGAAGAAAAGTGAGGTACAGGGAACCAGGCAGAGGGTCTTCTTGGTGGTGGCGCACTGCCCCTGTGAAACTCCCTCCCACCAGATGTTCAAGGAAATAGACAACTATCTGACTTTTACAAGACATCTGAAGGCAGCCCTGTTTAGGGAAGTTTTTTAATGACTGAAGTTTTAATGTATTTTTAAATCTCCTGTTGGAAGCTGCCCAGAGTGGGCCAGATGGGCAGGGTCTTCTTCTTCTTCTTCTTCTTCTTCTTCTTCTTCTTCTTCTTCTTCTTCTTCTTCTTCTTCTTATTCTTATTTTGTGGGTTATTCTTTTCTGCAAAAGCCAGAGTCCACCTATTCTTGTACTACAACAAGAGGTTTAAGTCCTGTAGTGTCTTCTTATTTTGGTCCAGAGAATATCTCACTGCATCCAGCATCCACATAAGAAGTCCCCTAAATTGGAAAATGGCTGTTTCATCTTCCCATGAGTTCATAAAGGAAAGTCCCATCTCTTCCCAGAAGGGCGCTGCCACTGCCATCCTAAAAGAATGAGGGAGGTGTTCATGGTGAGTTCTGGCACCTCTTTTTCTAGAAAAGTAACACTATGCATGCTAAGGTACGGAAAGGAGATTCTACTCCCTCAAAATGAGATTGGCAAAATAAAATGTTAGAATATGAAGAACTAGCAAGATTCCGAGACCATACAGACCAACTATTTAATAGAGAGTGGAATATTTGCAGAGAATATTTTAAAGCAGTGTGGTGTAGTGGTTAAGAGCGGTAGTCACGTAATCTGGGGAACCGGGTTCGCGTCTCCGCTCCTCCACTTGCAGCTGTTGGGTGACCTTGGGCCAGTCACACTTCTCTGAAGTCTCTCAGCCCCACTCACCTCACAGAGTGTTTGTTGTGGGGGGAGGAAGGGAAAGGAGAATGTTAGCCGCTTTGAGACTCCTTAAAGGGAGTGAAAGGCGGGATATCAAATCCAAACTCTTCTTCTTCTTCTTCTAAAGAACGTTGTAACAACATAATTTTTTTTGGCAAGCCTGGATTGATTTCTGCATGAATTAACTACAGTATTAACATAACAGAATAATTTAGGAGAGACAAAGTTAAGTGTGCAGCTGTAAAATGAAATCACTGAACATCACTTTCGATCCCTTATTTGCATATGTGGACCTGAACTATCTACAGTATCCCCCTGCTGGCCCAGGGTGAGAACTTCAGTACATAACAATGACCAAGTACAACAATGCAATATCAATATAAACACTTTATATAATCTATACAGAACACTGAACAGTATGAAATATATGAAATATGCACTCTCTGCAAAACCAAATAAACAGAAATCTTACAAATCTCTGAAAGTCACAAAATATGCACTCTGGATGGATACTCTTGAGAACATAAAACCAAATAAACATGAGTCTTATAAGTCTTTGTTTTGTTTTAAAACTAATAAAGAATTAGAGAGAGAGAGGCAAGAGAAACGTGTTCTTGTTAATTCTCCTCGACCTCTTAGTGGCTTTTGATGCCAACGACCATGGCATCCTTCTGGAGCAGCCGTCAGAGTTAAGGGTGGGTGGCACCGCTTTGCGGTGCTTCTGGCCCTACTTGGATGGTCATTTCCAGAGGGTGACGCTTGCCCCCACGGAGCCTTCAGTGTGGGGTTCCTTAGGCTTCAATGTTATCCGCCATGAAACCACTGAGCGGGGATTTTAGGAGTATGTTGCCAACAATGTGCTGTCTACTAGACCAGACCAACATTAAAAAGAGCTTTGAATTGATGTGGGAGGACCATTCCTCTGGAGATCCTCATAGTTCGAGCTACGGAGCTACAGAGTTTCTGACAGTGCAATACACCAAGTTCCAAAAGAGAACCCAGCCGGTGATTTACCTGGAAAGGAACTCACGAAAGGAGAGAATTGTGCCATCCATTCAACGCTCCATTCCCCAGCCATCCCCCTTTCTGCCACCCCAGTTGCCTTCCATGTTGGCCTGAGGCAGGAAGGAGAGACGGAAGGGGCTGGGGGCTAGCAGGGCAGATGTGCAAAGGGAGAGCTTAGGCAGGGAGGGAGGAGGGAGCTGAGAGCAGGAACTGGCTGCTGTGACAAACAGCCCAGGCTCCTGGGGGAGCAGGGTGAGGCCTTGCTGGAGGCTGCCCATGGCGTTCATGTGGCAACCCAGCCCCCTGGGGGGTTGGCAGGTGGGCCCCGCTGCGCTCCTGCCTGCTCCTGCCCCTGCCAGGGAAAAACAAGAGATCTGCACTGGCAGAGGGCTGGAGAGGAAAGCCTGGAGGAGAAGCAGGACACCTTTTTGGCCAGGCCTTCCCTGGTTTCGCTCTGCTGGAAGGAGAAGGACCTGGAGCATCCTTTGCCAGTCACACCTGCAAGGAGCTGGCACGTCTGCCCTGGGCAAGATGGCACTGGAGTTCGATGGAATCACGGTGAGTGCAGAGCAGGGACAGGGGGCTCCACGATGTGATAGACAGACAGACAGACAGACCGACAGACAGATAGATAGATATGCCCTTTTGGTTTGGGTGACTTTCTCTACTGTCGGCTGCTTCTTCTCTGCTAGATTTTCTTCCCTACCTTTTTTTAAAAAAAATAATTTTCATTAAGAATTTCAGCATAACAATTTATCAAAGACATCTCATCCTCACCCTCCCTGTTTTTCCCTGCCCCCTCCCCAAGAAAACAACACCCTCCCACCCCTGCCCAGACTTCCCTCAGCTCCTCTCTCTGGTTTTTTAGCACACATTATTCTCTGCATATTATAAAATTGTAAAGAACTTTAAATTATCTGTCTGTATGTTACTAATAATAAATTTGTGTTTGTTTATTCAAAACCTGCCAAGGAACCCAGTTCATTTTGTTGTTTCTTTAAGTACTTTCTAAAAGGTTCCCATTCTTCTTTAAAGTCACAGTTGTCCTTATCACGGAGTTTGTGCGTCAATTTCGCCAGTTCCACACAGTCCATCAATTTCCCTTGCCACAGTTCTTTGGTAGGAATTTCCTCATTCTTCCATCCTTCTGCTATTAAGACTCTTGCGCCGTTGTCGCGTACATGAAAATGTTCTTCAGTTTCCTTGGCAGGTCTCTTCCTACAATCCCTAACAAAAATGATTCAGCCTTTTTTTTTACAAATGTTAATTGGAACATTTTCTTCAATTCATTGTATATCATTTCCCAGAATTTTTTAATTTCACTACACTCCCACCACATGTGATAAAAATATATCTCTGCTAGATTTTCTGAACTGCTGAGAGGTGAGCTTACATTTTGCCCCAGCAAATGTCTCAGCCCTCTCCAGGGTGCAGGGTGGAAAACGAACCAGCCAGAAGGGAGGTGGGCTGCTGCTGCTGCAGTCTTCACTTGAAGGTAATCCATGGAATTATTGATAAATTTATTTGCTGGAGACTTTCAATAAAAGAGGAGGCAGCTTCCTGCCCACCTCCCGCGTCAGCCAAAGGCTCCTTCTGTTCTGAGTGAGAGTCACGGGGTCCTGCAGCCTCACTTTTTTTAGCTATCATACCTGACAGCTTCCTGCTCCCCCCTCCTTCGTCTCTGCTCCTAGTCTCCACCACCACAGATGATCCCCCCCTTTCAGATGTCCCTTTTGCAGCTCGTCAGTGATTCAATACTATTTTTTTTTTAATAAAAAGTCAAAGCTGAAAGTGACCATTTGGTGGGGCTTGTGCACTTGTGATGCTCTGGCTAAATTCCTCCATGCACGTGTGCAGTGTTGCTGCCCCAGAACATAAGTATTGACACCTGAACATAATACTTTAGAAGAAACTGACTATAACCACTTCCCAAAGTGCCTAGCACAGCTTCCCTGGTGGCAGACGACAAGAACTGTAGTCACACTCGAATGCACTGTTAAGAAATTACGTTATGCAAGCATTTGAGTATACAGTGGTACCTCGGGTTACATACGCTTCAGGTTACAGATTCCGCTAACCCAGAAATAGTGCTTCAGGTTAAGAACTTTGCTTCAGGATGAGAACAGAAATCATGCTCTGGCAGCGCAGCGGCAGCAGGAGGCCCCATTAGCTAAAGTAGTGCTTCAGGTTAAGAACAGTTTCAGGTTAAGTACGGACCTCCGGAATGAATTAAGTACTTAACCTGAGGTACCACTGTACAAGCATTTAAGCTACAGTCATACTCCGGTTACAGACACTTCAGGTTGCTTTTTTCGGGTTACGGACCCGCCGAAACCTGGAAGTACTGGAATGGGTTACTTCCGGGTTTTGGGGGTCGCACATGCACAGAAGCACTAAATTGCACTTTGCGCATGCGCAGAAGCCCCGAATCACAACTCGCGCGTGCGCAGATGCGCTGCTGTGGGTTGCAAATGCTGCAGTTTGCGAACGTGCATCCCACACGGATCACATTTGCAACCCGAGCATCCACTGTACTAATATTTGCAAGCTCTTTAGATTGTGTGCTCTCCTCTGGCGCCCTCAAAATTGCAAACTCATCTTCCTTCCTGACACCAATTAAGCCTGGAGTGCCACTCCCACACATTTCAGAAACTTCTGGAAGGCCTTTTTAAACTTAAAGGAACCTTATCTGTTTCATGAAGAATGTATTGCTAACGAAACAGGCCAGTGGTCGCTGCTGGATACTCTCTGGGTGTGAAAGGGCTTGAAGCCATGCAAACCCTGATATAGAGGCAGCTTTCTCCCTTGCTCTGCTCCACCCTCAGGCGCCCCTCAGGCCAAACTGCATAGGAACGGAGGTGCCACAGTCAGTTCAGCTTTGCAGCTGGAGCTTTTCTGAGCGGCTGTTAGCAAGCACCCCACTCCCTTTGCCATCTCCCCTTGGGAACTTGTAGCTTGCATTCGAGGAAACTGCTGCAAACTGTTTTGAAACCAATAGATAGGAGGAGTGTGACGGGAATCTAACCAGTAAATAATAAAGAGTTGCCTTGCCCAGGGGGAATGTGAAGAGAACAGGGATGGCAATGGCTAAACAAGCAAAGCGCTTCTGAAGGCAGCCACTGGCGCTGCAGATGAGCAGAGCCACACAAGCAGCACAAATGGTGTGGAAACAGGATTCTGTTTAATTCATCCCTCGGCCCCTCTGCTTCCAGACCTGCTCCTTTCCAGTGGTACCCGGTGGAATCTTGCCTTGCCCTTCTGCATTTAGGGCAGCTCAGCCAATCCCTGCAAGAGGCGTCAATGTTCTTCATTGCTCTCAAAATCCTTTTGCAGACTGCAATGCAGATCCTTCTGCCACCTTGCAAAGATTCCCCAAGGGCAGAAACATCTTGCATTTCTCAAGTCCGTTTTAGAAAACCCAAACTGTTATGTACTGAAGTTCTCACCCTGGGCCAGCAGGGAGATACTGTAGATAGTTCAGGTCCACATATGCAAATATGGGATCGAAAGTGACGTTCAGTGATTGGATAGTTACAGAAAATGGTTACTGTTGCGTTCTAGTGGAGCTCTATATAAGCAGGCTGGCTGAACCCTTCAATTCAGTTCTGTTCTGGCCTGTGAATAAATAAGAGGTGTTTGAAGAATTGCTATGTCGTCTGATATGTTCACCCACAACTTAACACAAAAACAGCCCACAGCTTTGAGAATGACCCTTGTTGTCTTTTCACCCCTTAGCAACCCGATTGGAAAGAAATCGTGAACAAGAAGTTGAAGTTCCCGGAAGGCCTCCTCAACGCCATCCAAGACGGGCAGCTGATGAAGGTCCAGCAGCTGCTGCAGGTGAGCGACGGGATCCTGAGGCAGCTGGATGAGGCCGAGGACCGGGCGTGGCGAGAGGCTCTCAACCTGGCCATCCGCACGGGCGGCGAGGAGATCACCAAGACGCTGCTGCGCATTGTCAAGTTTGACTTCCGCCAGATCCACGAGGCCTTGCTGGTTGCCGTGGATACCAACCAGCCCACCGTGGTCAAGCTGCTGCTGGACCGCCTGGACCAGGAGAAAGGCCGCAAGATGGACATCAAGTCCTTCTCCTCGGCCTTGTTTGACAACTCCATCGACAACTCCCGCTTCGCCCCGGGCGTGACGCCCCTCACCTTGGCTTGCGAGAAGGACCTCTACGAAATCGTGGACATGCTGATGAAGAAGGGCCACGCCATCCCGGGGCCGCACAAGGTCTCGTGTTCCTGCCTGGAGTGCTCCAACGGCCGCAAGTTTGACCTGCTCAAGTTCTCGCTTTCTCGCATCAACACTTACAAGGGCATCGCCAGCCGGGCGCACCTCTCCATCGCCAGCGAAGACGCCATGTTGACGGCCTTCAAGCTCAGCCGAGAGCTCAAGAGCCTCTCCAAGAAGGAGCCCGAATTCAAGGTCTGTCTCTTGCTGCAACAAGCATGTAGGTCAAGGTGGGGAACATCTACGGCCCTCCAGGTACTGGTGGACCACAACTCCCACCATCCCTGAACATTGGCCATGTGGGCTGGGAGTCCAACAACATCTGGAAGGCCACCGGTTGTTCCTCAGCCCTGACACGGACGTTGTTTTTTAATTCCACAATATTCAGATCACAAGCCTAATTCTTTTTAGAGGAAGGAGTTGGGGTTTGGGAGTCCATGTAGACCACGCTGTGCATCTGGGCAATTCAGATTCTGCACACAGAAAAGCCGTTCTCTTCAGAATTGGGCTGGGCCCTTGTGCTGCCCTTCCGAGTCGGAGCCAGACCCTTCCTTCCTTGACCCTGCCTTGTCCTCCCGTCCAGCCCGAGTACCTGGCCCTGGAGCAGCTGTGCCAGGAGTTTGCCTTTGAGCTGCTGGGAATGTGCCGCAACCAGAGCGAGGTGACGGCCATCTTGAATGACGTGGCAGATTCCTCGAATGACGAGGAAGAGGAGGACTTCAATGACCAGGCCTTCGAGGAGGGCATCCCCAACTTGGCGAGGCTTCGCCTGGCTGTCAACTACAACCAGAAGCAGGTGGGCTTTTTATTTATATCCCGCCCTTCCCCATTCAGAAAACCAGGCTCAGGGTGGCTAACAACAGATTTAAAACACTTAATTGATGCAACAAAAGACCAGCATAAAATACAGTATAAAACGTGAATAATAAATTCAGAATTCAAAAATCAATTTAGGGGGGAAATCCATCCAATAAACATTAGATGATCACCAGGGCTAGCTGGCTAAATTAGTTCTATTTGGGCCAGTGAGGAGACCAGGGGAGAATTAGCTGTGGGATCCCAGAGCGGGTAATCTTCATAAAAAGAGGAGAGGGAGTGAAGGGGAATAAAAGATCAGGCTAAGTTCAAATTGAAAGCCAGGCAGAATAGCTCTGTCTTACTGGCCCTGAGGAAGGAGGTTAAATCCTGAAGGGCCCTGGTCTCATGGGACAGAGCATTCCACCAGGTCAGAGCCATCACTGAGAAGGCCCTGGCCCTGGCCGATGATCATCTGACTTCCTTAGGGCCCTGGACCTCTAAACTATGATGATTCATGGACCTTAAGGTCCTCTGCAGGGCAGACCAGGAGAGGCAGTCCTGTAAATACGAGGGCCCTAAGCCACAAAGTGCCGGATTTCAGGCAGTGTGGGCCATTCTCCTGCACAGGGTGCCTAGCCTTTGCTTTGATCCAGTAGAGACCTTTCCACCTTATTTCCCCCCCAGTTTGTCGCCCACCCCATCTGCCAGCAAGTGCTGTCGTCCATCTGGTGCGGGAGCCTGCAGAGCTGGAGGGGCAGCACCAATCTCTGGAAGGTCTTCATCTCCAGCTCCATCTTCATGGGGATGCCTTTCCTGTGCCTCCTCTACTACGTGGCCCCCAGATCCAAGGTGGGTGGTTTGTGTCCAGGCATAACGCACCGCCCTCTTCCCAGCCAACGTGGTCTTGGCCTCTTCAGCCCGTAGGCAGCTTGGGGGATCCTCCTTGGTGATCTCCTGGTGCCTACTGAATATGTCTTCCAGCATCCTTTTTGTGTGCAGTCTGTATTGTTTAACCCCTGAAAGACTACTGTAGTTAATTGCTATTTCTTTTTTAAAAAACATATATTTTTTATTAGTTTTTTAACATACCATTTTCAACAGTTATTATCCAATTTTTTTTATCTTATCCAATTTTTTTTTACTTCCATCAATCACATCTGAAAATTTTCCAATCTTATCTCTTAATATACTCTTCTTATTTTCACTATTACATTTAAATCTCATAACTAATGTCTCCCTTCTTTCTCTTCTTTGCAACATTTCATATATTTCTCCTTACAAAACTTCTTGTAGTCCTACTGGCATAATTTGTTGATTACAGTTGCTCTTCAAATAGTTCGTACATTTCTTCCAATCTTCTGTAAATCTCTGGTCTCACAGGTTTCGAATCCTTCCTGTCATTTTATGCACTTCTGCGTCGTCCATTAATTTCATCTGCCGTTCTTCTTTCATCGGTATTTCTTCTTGCTTCCATTTCTGGGTCAACAATACTCTTGCCGCTGTTGTTGCATATAAAAACAATTTTACATTCCTGTCTATTAATATCCTCACCTATAATGCCAAGTAAAAAATGCTTCTGGTTTTTTTTAGAAATGCAGATTTCTTAATATTTTTGATGGAACGGAAATGGCCTTTGTGACATTATCCATGCCAGGCTAGCACATCACCATAGCTGGTTGGGGCTGGTGGGTGTTATAGTCCGAAACACCTGGAAGGCAGGCTGATGTGCATCAATGGGGCGCATGCCCTCTCCTAACATGCTGTGTGCCACTTCTCTCATCAGCCTGCCAAAATGCTGAAGATCCCCGTGATCAAGTTCCTTCTGCATTCGGCCTCGTATGTCTGGTTCCTGGTCCTTCCTGCTGGCAGAGTCGCTGGTGCTGGAGTACAACAACGAGACCTTTTCGGGGCGGAACCAGGACTTCTGGGAGACATCGCTGCACATGATATGGGTGGCAGGTCTGTGTGGCCCAGGTCAGACTGGCGGTGGCGCTCCTCCTCGCGGCCCGAGATGTCCCGAGATATTTTAAAAGCCATAGATTAACAAGCTATGGTTTATAGGCCAACAAAAAATAACTTCACATTGTGGTTTGCTGCCAGGAAACAAGTCATGGATTGGGCTGGGTTCCCACATTCAGGGCTGGGTATTCCCATTCAGACAAACCATTGTTAGTCTGAAGAAGCCGTGACCTTAGCCTTATGGGCAAACAGAGACAAAGAGGGTAAGCTTAAGTGGAGAAAAAGAGATTGAGAAGAGGCATCAGAGGTTGACGGATGTTCTGCCCCTGGCAGTCGTCTCAGCTGGTTGATGGAGTTCTGGCCAAGTCAGGGACACCAGCTCACATACCACTGGGACCACTTCCAGATTCAAGAAACAGAGTCAGGTCAGGTTCCAGCAGGGCAAAGTCAGACCAAGCAGAGTGTCGTCCCAAATAAGCAATATCAGGCAAGGCAGAGGTCAAAACCAAAAAGGCAAAGAAGCAAGGTAGGTTGCCCTCTGGATAGTTTTCGGGGGAGCCTAGGCTGGAAGTCAGACAAGGCAGGCTTGAATGTTGCTTCAGCAGCTGGACAACCCAGGTGGAGCCTCAAAGAGGACGGCATCTTCCTCTGAGCAACCATCCCTGATGGGCAAAGCCTCTGAAAAAGACACAGCCTGTTTTAGGAGCTCTTGAGGCTGGGTCTCCACTATGGTCTCCTCTTCAGGCCAGGGAGGGGCTGGCATCACAGACCACCTGATGCTGCAACTTCTGAGGAGCCCGAGATGTCAAAAGACTAGCTCACAGGATACACACTCCTCCTCGTGGCCCGAGATGTCCCTTGAACCCATGGCCTCTTCCCCCAAGGATGGGGATCCAGAGCCCTGGGCCGTGGCAAGGACCAGCCAAGGTTGCCCCTCCTCCAGCTGTGCCCAGTGGTGGGTTTTGATCCCCTGTGCTTTCCTCCTCCAGGTTTCTTCTGGTTTGAGTGCAAAGAGGTTTGGATCGAGGGCTTCCGCAGCTACCTCTTGGACTGGTGGAACTTCCTGGACATCGTCATGCTCAGCATGTACCTGGCCTCCTTTGTCCTCAGGCTCCTGATATTCTTCCAGGGCCGTGTTTTCTGTCTGGATAACAAGGAGTCTGCAGAATGCCGTTACTACACAAAAGCAGGTGAGCACCTCCCACAAGCTGGGATCTCGTTCCTTCTTCTGTGTTGCGATTCCGTGAGCTCTGGCTTCCGTCACGGGGTCCCATTGCATCAGAAGCGGTTTAGTCATCTTCTCTATCTTCTCAACTCTGGAGAAGATTGGGAAACGTTTATTGAATATATGGGAAATAATGGTGTACAGCTGAAAACGCTGGAAGCATTAAGATAAATTCAGCAGCGTAACTCAGTTTTGATGGGTGCAATAATGGAATACTGAATGGTATAGTTTTTGTAAAATATGCAGGGATTTATGATATGTAAAATGAACCATGGAAAGAGAATAAGTCAAGTCACTGATATCTTAAGGATGTAAAAATAAGTTCTTTAAATTGTAAAGCAGAAAATTTAATAAAAATTATACAAAGCAGCAGCAGCAGCAGCAGCAGCAGCTGTTTAGTCCTGCTGGCCACATGACCGGAAAGCTGTCTGTGGACAGACGCCAGTTCCCTTGGCCTGAAAGTGAGATGAGCGCCAAACCCCATAGTCGCCTTTGACTGGACTTAGCTGGTCCAGGGGTCCTTTACCTTTTGGCCTTTTACTGGTTCCATTGGTGCACCTGTTTGAAAGTTCAGCATAGAGGAAGTAAAATTCACATTTCCCTTTGACATTAGATTGCATGAGATCAATGTGAGTTTCAATTAACCACAATGGCTATGTTTCACTTCCACTGTGTGAAGTCCCAAGGCTTGGAGACTCAGGTGGTTCCCTTTTTGGAATCTGATTGGCCCCTGTCAGAACAGGATGCTGGGCTAGATGGGACTTTGGCCTGATCCACAGCCAGTTTCCTTCTAAGATTCCTCAGATTCTTCATTCTCTTGCATCTTAAATTCAGTTCTTGCTGATCACAAATGTGAGAGACGTGAAAATTCCAGCCATTTAAAAAATTATTCATTAATTTAGAGAAATCCTGGCTCCAAAACGAGCCCCTTGTAATATTTGCCTCCAAGACAGGTAGCATATGCACACCTTCACATTGTTTGAAATAATATTGCCGTTCAACTGGGAACATTTGTTTTGTTTTTCCTTTGGGAGAGGGTGATACAAACCGGGAATTGCTGTCACATGATTAAACACAATCCAGTCCCACTGCCTTCGCCCAGCTTGCCACCCCTGCTCCCTCCAGACGTTTTGAAATGCATCTCCCATCAGCCCAAGAAAAAATATGGCCACTCTTGGCAGGGGCTGATGGGAGTGGGGAGCAGCCTTTAGAACAGGGGTCCCCAAACAAAGGTCCGTGGGCCCGGATAAGGCCCGAGGGACTCGTTTATCTGGCCTGTGGTGACCCCTGCTACCTGCTGCCACCGCCCACTCTTACCGGCTCTCCGCTGTGTGGCTGCCCACTTCCAGGTCGGAGGAGCACCGGAAATAGCTTGTGCGCATGTGCAAGTGTTATTTGTGCATGCACAAGTGTATTGCGCATGCGCAAGTGTTATTTCTGGTGCACATCCGGGTCGGAGGAGGCCTGTGCACATGCGACAAGCTATTTCCGGTTGCTCTCTGGATCCGGACGTGCGCCGGAAATAGTGTGTGTGCACGCGTTATAGGCACGCACTCCCCTGCCCTCTGGCCCACCACGTGATCGGCGCTGAAGACACCAGCCTGAGGCGTGGTAAGTTTGCTGACCCCTGGTTTTAGAAGGTAAGGAAAAGGCTTCAGACATGTACAGGAACACACAAGGAAGGCTGTGACCGACAGGAAACCTTGGCTCACGGAGACAACTGGAGCAGGGAAGCTGACTTGCAAAAGGTGTGCGCCACCTGACACAGATGTCACCTGGCACTCATCCTCCCTCCCTTTTGTGACCCAGACCGTCAGGAGTTGGCAACACCGAAGACCCCCAGTTCATGGCCGAGGTGCTCTTTGCAGTGACCAGCATGCTGAGCTTCACCCGTTGCTTACATCTTGCCTGCCCACGAACTTGGGGACCCTGCAGAATCTCCATTGGGCAAGATGAATCGACGACATGATCAGGTGTGTGTGTGGATACTGCCCTAGCCTCTTGGCTTTGTTTTGCTGGTTTTAATGTTGTATTTGTAAAGAATCTAATTGAGACAATAATGGCTTTATAGAAAAAACCCTGCCTCCTTTTCCCTTATGGGGTATCCAAGAACCTGTTGTTGTTGTTGTTTAGTCATTTAGTCATGTCCGACTCTTTGTGACCCCCTGGACCAGAGCACGCCAGGCACTCCTGTCTTCCACTGCCTCCCGCAGTTTGGTCAAACTCATGCTGGTAGCTTCGAGAACACTGTCCCACCATCTCCGTCCTCTGTCGTCCCCTTCTCCTGTGCCCTCCCATCTTTCCCAACATCAGGGTCTTTTCCAGGGAGTCTTCCCTTCTCATGAGGTGGCCAAGTATTGGAGCCTCAGCTTCAGGATCTGTCCTTCCAGTGAGCACTCAGGGCTGATTTCCATTAAAATGGATCGGTTTGATCTTCTTGCAGTCCAGGGGACTCTCAAGAGTCTCCTCCAGCACCCAGAATTCAAAAGCACCAATTCTTCGGCGATCAGCCTTCTTTAATGTCCAGCTCTCCACTTCATACATCACTACTGGGAAAGACCATAGCTTTAAACTATATGGACCTTTGTTGGCAAGGTGATGTCCCTGATTTTAGGATGCTGTCTAGATTTGTCATTGCTTTTCTTCCAAGAAGCAGGCGTCTTTTAATTTCGTGACTGCTATCACCATTCTGCAGTGATCCAAGAGCCCGTATAGAGTCCTTAAGTAGGTTCCTCTGTCGTTAGGAGAAACTAACAGAGGCCAACCATAGTATATTGAGAAGCTAAGCAGCTAAGTAGGCCTGATCTTTATTAACTGTTGCAACAGGGTCCCCACTCACCACACGCAGGAGGGAGGAGGAACCCCAGAACAGTGGTGCGCAAGCCCTTATATAGACTTTTGAAACTGCCCACCCTTGTTGCTCAAGACCACCCCCAAAAGATCATGCTTACATCACAGGAAGAGGAGGGTCTACAGCAGAAATACATCGCAGAAGGAGGCGGTCTACAGCAGAAATCTGTCTGCCAGGATGCCTGATAATGGTCACTGATTGCTTTACCTGGGCAGCCTGGCCATTCTTTTGTGATGGTAAATACTTCAGTTCTGAGTCCCAGGTCATAGGCTCACCCGTATTCATGCACAAATGCACGACCATAAGACAGGATTTGTAAAGCAAAAAGAACAAAGGGAGGTTTCCCCATTTCTCCCTTCTTTGGGAGAGTCAAAATGGTTCAGGATTGCTCTCCACTACTATTTCAGACACGTGGTTTATATACTTATGCGTGTGTTGCCTTGTACATTTATGAACGTTTTATTTATATTTGGGACCTTCGAGTTCTTATAACAACAGGTGACCTGCTTTCTTCAGCTTTTTGGCTTCCTTGTGCTTCTCCTCCTCTCCAGGTTCATGTTCATCATGGTGATCATCTTGACCGCCTTTCCTGTGTGGGATGAACAACGTCTACGTCCACTACCAAGACTCTGAGAACTGGGGAGTACGGCAGCTGACTTGGTGGAATCAAGGGTGGTAAAAAGGATGAGATTGGACAGCTAGGAGATTGTCCAAGGCACTGGGCCAAAGTCCAGTGTTTTGACCTCCTTGCCAAGCAGGTTCTGAACTGGTCAGTACTCAAAAGGGGAGACCACCAGGAACCCCATGTATGTATGGCCCCCACAAAGTTAGGAGCAAAGCCATTGCTCCACCCACATTTGCCTCCATCTCTGCCCACCACGGGAATGCAGCCCCTGAGAAGGATCCCCGCGAGGGACAAGAAGCTCTTGAGCTGAAGATGGTTACCTAGGACCTGATCTTGGCACTCAGACTCTTTGCAACTATAGCAGGAAGCAGTCGTCAGGTAGCAGCTCTTTGGCTGCCTCCGGAGGGGTCCAAGATACCCATTTATTGTTACTTACATAATTTATAGTCCACAAAAGTACAGAAATCAGCTTACACAAAATCAGCATAGTATAAAAAATAAGGCTGAATGCAATCCAGCTGCTTTGGGTCTCAGGAGAAAACCCAAAATCCAGTGTCCCCAGACTGTCAGTATTTCACGAGAGGGATTCAAACGTGTGCTGGAACTTCAGGTGCGCACAATTAGAAGGAATTGAGGGCTCTGTTGTCCACTTAAAAAGAAAGAAAGTGGCTTTTTACAGATTGGAAAGTGGCAGGGAAATAATGGAATTATAGAATCTTAGAGCTGGAAGGGACACAAGGGTCATCTAGTCCAACCCCTGCAGTGCAGGTGTCTCAGCAAAAGCAGTAGCTTTAAATTCAGTAGCAGGAAGACCAGGGCCGGATTTAGGTTTGATGAGGCCCCTCAGCTCCTGAAGGGAATGGGGCCTTTCTATGTCCAGCTGTCCTTTGTCAACAACAAACGGTTGCTGTTTTTTGTGTTGAATATATGCTATATGGTAGTTTATGAACCCAGTAGGTATCTAAAGCCACTTGCACATAACAAAATATGTATTTTATCAAAGTAATTGTTGAACTGAAAACAATTAAGAAGTATATTAATAGTGAAATACAATTAAGAAGTATATTAATACTGAAATAATTATTAAGCTCTAACTTAAAATGATTTTTTTATTCATAACAAACTTAATAATGCAAAACGTTGGCATTTGGCAATAACAAAAGTTCCTTTAGAAACACAATTTACAGAGACTCATCAGCCAGTCTCTAAAAACCAGTCTCTATGCAAACAGTCCATGCAGAATGTAGGCACCCTATATATAGAAAGGAGCAAACCAGTGATATTTTTGGGAGCAGGCTAGCAGGTGGGGCCCATTACTTACATCCTAGGAGCCTACACAACACAAAACACAGTTGCTGTATGTAGGTTTTATTTTATTTGTTTTTTATCTTATATTTTAAATGTACATCTAGTTTTTTTCCCTTTAAATTTTTTGGGGCCCCCAAGAGAGTGGGGCCCTAAGCTATAGCTTGTTTAGCTTATACGTAAATCCAGCACTGAGGAAGATGTGTAAATACCCCACATGTATCAGGATGCTCTTTGTCCTGTAACTGCCCCACAAGCAAATCAAAATGAAAGGTCAATGAAGACTGGATATAGTAATCTAACCTCTGCATAAGCTTTGTGCAAGCAGATCAGGATGAATGTTGAAATAAACACTGAACGAGCATGTCCCCTGGAGGAAGCCTGGTGGGAGAGGGTACCCTGACCCGAAACCCCCAGCTGTTTCAGCTTGCTATCCCTTCTCCCATGCAGCTTCAACGAGACATTCCAGTTCCTCTTCTGGACCATGCTTGGGATGGAGAAACACGATGTGGTGGACATGCCCAATTTCTTCGTAGCTCAGCTGGTGGGGAGGGTGCTGTATGGGGTCTTCACCATCGTCATGGTGGTTGTCCTCCTCAATATGCTCATTGCCATGATTACAAGGTCCTTCCAGAAAATCGAGGTGAGTGCTGAACCAGGGGCGAGTAAGAGGGACCCGCCTTATCCTTTGCATAGCATCTTACGTCTACTGGAATTGGACCCGGGGTTTGGGAAGTGTGGAACAGAGAGATGGATTTCCAGATCAGATCCATACTCTACATCAGCGGTTCTCAACCTGTGGGTCCCCAGATGTTGTTGGACTACAAGTCCCATCATCCCTGAGTTCTGGCCTTTCTAGCTAGGGGTGATGGGAGTTGTAGTTCAACAACATCCAGGACCCACAGGTTGAGAAAGGCTGCTCTACATTCTCCAGGGACTTGCAGCTAGAGATGGGAGGAGGCAGCAACTTCAGTCTTGTGCTGGGTTCATCACAACTCAGGGCTGTTTCCCTTCCACTACAAATCAGCTTCCTCTTGCTGTCTGTTGTGGCCTGTAATTAATTTCAGGGGAAAGGAAACATCAAAAAACAATACAGTAGATCAGGCATAGGCAAACTCGGCCTTCCAGATGTTTTGGGACTACAACTCCTATCATCCCTGACCACTGGTCCTGGTTAGCTTAGGGATGATAGGAGTTGTAGTCCCAAAACATCTGGAAGGCCGAGTTTGCCTATGCCTGATCTACTGTATTGTTTTTGATGTTTCCTTTCCCCTGAAATTAATTACAGGCCACAACAGACAGCAAGAGGAAGCTGATTTGTAGTGGAAGGGAAACAGCCCTGAGTTGTGATGAACCCAGCACAAGACTGAAGTTGCTGCCTCCTCCCATCTCTAGCTGCAAGTCCCTGGAGAATGTAGAGCAGCCTTTCTCAACCTGTGGGTCCCTGGATGTTGTTGAACTACAACTCCCATCACCCTAGCTAGAAAGGCCAGAACTCAGGGATGATGGGACTTGTAGTCCAACAACATCTGGGGACCCACAGGTTGAGAACCGCTGATGTAGAGTATGGATCTGGATCTGGAAATCCATCTCTCTGTTCCACACTTCCCAAACCCCGGGTCCAATTCCAGTAGACGTAAGATGCTATGCAAAGGATAAGGCGGGTCCCTCTTACTCGCCCCTGGTTCAGCACTCACCTCGATTTTCTGGAAGGACCTTGTAATCATGGCAATGAGCATATTGAGGAGGACAACCACCATGACGATGGTGAAGACCCCATACAGCACCCTCCCCACCAGCTGAGCTACGAAGAAATTGGGCATGTCCACCACATCGTGTTTCTCCATCCAAGCATGGTCCAGAAGAGGAACTGGAATGTCTCGTTGAAGCTGCATGGGAGAAGGGATAGCAAGCTGAAACAGCTGGGGGTTTCGGGTCAGGGTACCCTCTCCCACCAGGCTTCCTCCAGGGGACATGCTCGTTCAGTGTTTATTTCAACATTCATCCTGATCTGCTTGCACAAAGCTTATGCAGAGGTTAGATTACTATATCCAGTCTTCATTGACCTTTCATTTTGATTTGCTTGTGGGGCAGTTACAGGACAAAGAGCATCCTGATACATGTGGGGTATTTACACATCTTCCTCAGTGCTGGATTTACGTATAAGCTAAACAAGCTATAGCTTAGGGCCCCACTCTCTTGGGGGCCCCAAAAAAATTTAAAGGGAAAAAAACTAGATGTACATTTGCAAAATATAAGATAAAAAACAAATAAAATAAAACCTACATACAGCAACTGTGTTTTGTGTTGTGTAGGCTCCTAGGATGTAAGTAATGGGCCACCTGCTAGCCTGCTCCCAAAATATCACTGGTTTGCTCCTTTCTATATATAGGGTGCCTACATTCTGCATGGACTGTTTGCATAGAGACTGGTTTTTAGAGACTGGCTGATGAGTCTCTGTAATTGTGTTTCTAAAGGAACTTTTGTTATTGCCAAATGCCAACGTGTTTGCATTATTAAGTTTGTTATGAATAAAAAAATCATTTAAGTTAGAGCTTAATAATTATTTCAGTATTAATATACTTCTTAATTGTATTTCACTATTAATATACTTCTTAATTGGTTTTCAGTTCAACAATTACTTTGATAAAATACATATTTTGTTATGTGCAAGTGGCTTTAGATACCTACTGGGTTCATAAACTACCATATAGCATATATTCAACACAAAAAACAGCAACCGTTTGTTGTTGAAAAGGACAGCTGGACATAGAAAGGGCCCCATTCCCTTCAGGAGCTGAGGGCCTCATCAAACCTAAATCCGGCCCTGGTCTTCCTGCTACTGAATTTAAAGCTACTGCTTTTGCTGAGACACCTGCACTGCAGGGGTTGGACTAGATGACCCTTGTGTCCCTTCCAGCTCTAAGATTCTATAATTCCATTATTTCCCTGCCACTTTCCAATCTGTAAAAAGCCACTTTCTTTCTTTTTTAAGTGGACAACAGAGCCCCTCAATTCCTTCTAATTGTGCGCACCTGAAGTTCCAGCACACGTTTGAATCCCTCTCGTGAAATACTGACAGTCTGGGGACACTGGATTTTGGTTTTCTCCTGAGACCCAAAGCAGCTGGATTGCATTCAGCCTTATTTTTTATACTATGCTGATTTTGTGTAAGCTGATTTCTGTACTTTTGTGGACTATAAATTATGTAAGTAACAATAAATGGGTATCTTGGACCCCTCCGGAGGCAGCCAAAGAGCTGCTACCTGACGACTGCTTCCTGCTATAGTTGCAAAGAGTCTGAGTGCCAAGATCAGGTCTAGGTAACCATCTTCAGCTCAAGAGCTTCTTTCCCTCGCGGGGATCCTTCTCAGGGGCTGCATTCCCGTGGTGGGCAGAGATGGAGGCAAATGTGGGTGGAGCAATGGGCTTTGCTCCTAACTTTGTGGGGGCCATACATACATGGGGTTCCTGGGTGGTCTCCCTTTTGAGTACTGACCAGGTTCAGAACCTGCTTGGCAAGGAGGTCAAAACACTGGACTTTGGCCCAGTGCCTTGGACAATCTCCTAGCTGTCCAATCTCATCCTTTTAGCCACCCTTGATTCCACCAAGTCAGCTGCCGTACCTCCCCAGCTTCTCAGAGTCTTGGTAGTGGACGTAGACGTTGTTCATCCCACACAGGAAGGCGGTCAAGATGATCACCATGATGAACATGAACCTGGAGAGGAGGAAGCACAAGGAAGCCAAAAAGCTGAAGAAAAGCAGGTCACCTGTTGTTATAAGAACTCGAAGGTCCCAAATATAAAATAAACGTTCATAAATGTACAAGGCAAACACACGCATAAGTATATAAACCACGTGTCTGAAATAGTAGTGGAGAGCAATCCTGAAACCATTTTGACTCTCCCAAAGAAGGGAGGAAATGGGGAAACCTTCCCTTTGTCTTTTTGCTTACAAATCCTGTCTTATGGTCGTGCATTTGTGCATGAATAGGGTGAGCCTATGACCTGGGACTCAGGAACTGAAGTATTTACCATCACAAAAGAATGGCCAGGCTGCCCAGGTAAAGCAATCAGTGACCATTATCAGGCATCCTGGCAGACAGGATTTTGCTGTAGACCGCCTCCTTCTGCGATGTATTTCTGCTGTAGACCCTCCTCTTCCTGTGATGTAAGCATGATATTTTGGGGGTGTCTTGAGCAACAGGGTGGGCAGTTTCAAAAGTCTATATAAGGGCTTGCGCACCACTGTTCTGGGTTCCTCCTCCCTCCTGCGTGTGGTGAGTGGGGACCCTGTTGCAACAGTTAATAAAGATCAGGCCTACTAGCTGCTTAGCTTCTCAATATACTATGGTTGGCCTC